CCCCAAAACCCCAAAACCCCAAAACCCCAAAACCCCATGTTAGTATGGGAATATTGAAACTGGAAAAGGTATTATAAAAGATGGCTTAGGGTTTGTTGTCGAGGATGTTGATAGCAAAACTATCATACATATCGAAGCTCCTATAGTTTAAAGAGGGTTAGATATAGAGTTCTTGGTGTTTGGAGTGAAATAGATTTAAGGGTAATTTATGTAAAGATGTTTTAGCTAAAAATTGAAGTTGAGGCTTACTCATCACTTTCTTTCTTTGAAGCTGGTTTATAGTTTTTTATCATTTCCTGATGGTTGTCACTACCAGCACTTCCCCCAGCAGGTGCAAATGCCTATTTTTATTATAAGTTTTAGTCAAATAGTGACTAATTTTAAACCTAGTTTTGAATAATCTTATGAGAATGCTAACATTTCTCAAGATAAATTCATTCTCTGATTCATTAAAACCTTATGCTACAAGAAGTGGAGGCTCACCTGATGTTTCCAGAAATTGAAGTTATAGGAAGGTTCAGGCTTCTTTTCCTCAGTTTCCTCTTCCTAAAAGAAGTTTACTTTTACGAAGTTATAACTAAAGTACCTTTTTAGGTTTATTTTCTTTTCTCTTTCTGTTTTTCTTTTTGATATTGCGTTTTACTTTCTTGCGTGCGCGATCAGATTTACTTTTAGTCGCATCTGAAACTGAGTCCCTAAAAGTTATTCTTGAGAGTACTCTGCGAAGACGGATATGCTTTGTTTTTCAAATAAATTGTCTAGTTTCTTAATACAATTCTCAGCATCATTGATCAAACTAAATTTCGAAGGGCTTAACCTACTCATGTGTTTTAGTAGGCGCTGCTTCAGATCTATCGGTGATCTTTGGAAGGCAGTCCTGGTTCTTAGAAGGCGTGTTTAGGAGTGATGTCACCAGGAACGGGTTATCTTCTAAATTATAATATTCGTATTATTCAAAAGTAGGTGAAAGCTCTAAAGCTATTCCGTTGGACTGCTTATGGTCAAATTATGGCCTTTGTTTTTGGATATGTAGAATTGTATTTTTAATAATTTTTAGATAAGTAAATCAGTTTCTAATACTCTTACCTCCTTTTAATTTTGCTGTTTCTCTCAAAGGATCAGTTCCTTCATAGTAAAAGGAGCTTTCGTCTGAATTCCTAGATTTCCAATAAGATTATGATTTTGGTAAAACAAGGGGTGTATCAATTTAGGATTTCATCTCAAGAATTTTCGAGCCAGCTGTTCAAGATATTGTTATACTGAAATAATTACAAAAGTTGAGTATTTTACTCTACCCATCCAAGGGCAAATTTCAAGTGTGCGCTCACCTCGATTCTGAAGGTTTAAAGAACTGCTTGTATACTTTCATATTGGCTTCTTGTTGTCTATGAAACATTGAGCATAATATGCTTAATAGCCAACCCCCAGGAATAAAATAAGATGGTATTCTACGACTGCTTGTATATCTCAGCAACAACCTCTAGAAAGTATCGATTGGGGGTTTCTAGAGATGGAAACTTACTTCTGATATTCTTTGTCCTTAAAAGAAAATATGTTCTGGGTTGATCACTTCATTGGGGTATATCCAGGCGTATAGTCACCCTCATACGGTGTATTAAGAGCATTCTGGGACGACTTATTTTAAGGAGAGAGGTGGCATTTTTGGGGGTAATTTGACCTCTTCCTGGCCTTTTGGTTGACTTAGGTCTGAGATCTTTAGCTTGGGGAGGTGTCTTAAAGCTGAAGTACGTTTATTTTTCTTCTTTTTGACTATTGTTTCGTATTGATTTTTTGGCTTGGGAGTTGGGCTAGAAAGGTTATTTGGAATTTTGGGATGGGAAGTGAAAGTTTACTTTTTAACTTTAAATCATCAGAAGAATGTGCATGTTGTTTTCTGGATGATCTGGGTTATCTTTTTGCTATCTTCAGGTTCCATGATGTGTTATAAATATTTCAATAATTGTGTTGGCCTCTGGGGTTTTGGGGTTTTGGGGTTTTGGGGGTTTGGGG